CACACCTTCTGAAAAGCAACATAACTAACACATGCCCATCATATTTACTTTTATTCTGTCATATCCTAGATAATTAATTAAATTGAAGCATGCATGAACATTTTACTGTGACAACTTGGAAATCTGTAGTTACCATTAACTCAAGGCGATTGATTGATGTTCAGGGTCAAATCAAAAGCTGGCTGGTATCCTTCTTTACATGCACATGCTAATTTCTTCATGCTTTACAGTTTACTCTCATACATTGACTGTATGCAATCAGTCATTCTTCTCAGGTAGAAAAAAAAACCTGCAACAAAAAAAGAGAATACAGCTTGAGATCAAGATACTTTTCGCCAGTTTCAGATCTTAGAAATACTGTAATATAATAATCAGAGCATTTTAAAAAAATTGTGTGAACAAATTTCATTTTTATTACATTGTCATTTTTGCATGATCCACTTGTTAGACTCGAGAGTTAGTTTTAGAACTTTGGACTTCAATTTTTTAAGTAGACACGTCTTTTAATTGTGGTTGTCTAATTATTCCAAAGTATGTGTTGCTCTCCTACGTCGGTACCGAGACGTTGCTGCAATTAACTGTAAATTAGCAAAAAAAACGTATGCCAGTAAAGCAAGTGCCTGTAGTGCTACGAAACACATGGCTTCTTTGCCCAGAAATGTTAATCAAAGTCTAGTGTATTACTACTATCATAAACCAGATGCTTTAATTAATTAGTCACATTGTTGCATTGCTCGCCGGTCACTGTGCGTCCAACCGTATTGTCCTGATTCTCACATGCATCCCTGGGATCCTTAAGCACGTCTACATGGATAAGCACATCCAACGTGCCATGCATAAACATGAAAATTAATCACGAGAACTTCGAGGTCGTCCACTCCTGCAAATGTCAACTCCTAAGGGACGTTCTCTCAGTCCATCAGTGGATACTTGTTTAAATGTCTAGAGTACTGCATACTCCTAGATGTGCACGCACTGCCACCATTGTTTAAATGTCTAGAGTAATGCATCGAATGTATATATGACGTTTTAATATTAAGACGTAAACTTAATGCTTACACAAATGACATAACGAGAAAGATACACAAAAAAAAGTACACTAGCATTATTCTGTGTGTAGTCAGGACACATTCGAGTACCTAAATAATGAATACGTACTCTCGTTCCAGCATATCATTTCTTCATTAATCATACCTTCATGATGGTAAGGGTTAGTTTAGCTAGGCCTTCGTTTACTTCACTCGGGAGTTAATTTAACTAGGATGTCGTTTACTTCACTCGTGGAAGGATGCACCTCTTCATCGATCGTCCACTCGAGTAAGCATGCACCTGCACATGATGATAAAGTAGTAAATCATGCAAATCAAGGGTACAACAGGTTGATTTACTCAATTAGTACAGGCATCAATGGTGGTATAGGATTACGGTGAGCTTTGGTTCGACAAGATGATCATATCGGTGGTGCTGGCACGAACATGGTTTGGATTTTTACCATCTGATACACCACCCGAGGATATATATCTCAAAGTCAACTATGAAAACTTTGAGATCACCTCTCTAATGTCATCTGCTGGAGCTAGATGTGCTCATCAGTGGATATTTGCGTGTGTGTTGACCTGTTGACTAAATGTGGACCCAATGATTAATCAGGGTCACCGTTTACTCACAGATGGCCAATTCTGACCATTAATTTTTGTTACTACTTCCCCTCCATTCTAAATTGATTGATTTATAACATTGCTTTTTCACTATTTCACTTGCATCCTTGAAAAAAGAAATTTGTATATGCCCACAATAGAATGAAATTTGTATATTTCCTATTCCTGTAAAATAAAGGGACATAATAAGTGAAGCGTGCACAAATCTGTCTTTATTTTTCAGTATCCACTTGGCAACCCCACCTACATGCTATTAAAATAAGAAGAGTGCATGGCCTCCGGCACTCTAAATACCCGTAAGCACTTACCAGGAGCTCATCTCATCTTAAACTCACAGAATGCCAGGTACAGAACTACCAGCTCACAGAATGGCAGGCGTACTTTATGTTTATAGAAGAAAGAAGATGACAATTTACAAGATGCCGCCGACGGTCTCGATGAGACCATTAGGAGCCAGCCGCCACTCCACTCTTTACAGGTTACTGGGCATGCAAACTGGAGTATTAGTTAACTCCAGCGCCGATGATCCTGTTGCTAATTAACTCAAGACGAACGATTGAGCAAGTTGCTCACGGTCAGATCAAAAGCTGGCTGGTGTCCTCCTTACATGGACATGCTAGTTTTCTTCATGGTTACTCATAAAGTGGCCATGTGCAATCAGTCAGTCATCTCAGGTAGAAAAACTGAAACATAGCAACAGAGAGCAGATAACACAGTTTGGGATCAAGATACTTTTTGCCCGTTTCAGAACATAGAAATATGGTAATATAATAATCTGGGTGTTAAACTTGTATATTCCACAGACAATGTAAACTGTAACCACACAGAAACAAACAAAATTTGACAGTATCTACATTTATCAAACAGGCAAAAAAACTCACAGACGGAGACAATGCATGGTACAGAAAACTGAATGTGGGTACCAGAGCAATTACCAACATAATACATCCAGAAACAAATGATTGGAGTGAACCTGAGACAATCTGTCTGCGACAGAATTCCTGGTGATGTGCTGCTTGAAGCAATCTGCTTTCAACCAATGGTACTCAAGATGGTGTTGCGGCTCTTACAAAGAAAATGAACATATGGCTGGCGGCTGCAGAGTATAAAGGGGTGCAAAATCTGGGACCTCAGCTGAACCATGGTAAACCTTTCTTCTGCTTAACAGTAATTTCTCGAGCAGATGCTGAGATCAAACATCACATGAAGTGTTTATTCCTTTAAATGGTTAGAAGCTAAAGTTAAATGATAAGCATAGTTCCAAACCGATGATGCAACACAAAAGCAGAATTATAATGTGTATCAATAGTTCAATACTAAGCCATGGTTATAACGTAAGCTTCCAGTTTAACTAGTGCTCTAAGCTCTTGTACAAAATCAGGTGCAACTTGCTAGTCAATAAGGAGGATGATCTGCCTCATTTCATCGTCAGCTAAAACAAAAACATAGAAACAGTAAACACGTGTATATTTGCTAGATTTTAGTATTAAGAAGACGACCAGGTAATCTCTAAGAAAAAAGATCTGATAAGTGGACAGGTCAAATTTACAGTTAAATAAACATAAACATAAAAGAAGCAGATAGAATTCCTAACTTGTATTGAGTACTAAGAAAACCACTCTTGGTAAAGGGGTAGAAATAAGTTCATTCTTGTGTTCAAGGAAACAGAGAGATGAATCGGAGCAATTGACAAGACATTTCAAATGCTGACCCAAATGAATTGTAAGCATCAACACTCATCGCAGCCACTACAGTACTAAGGATATTCAAAGAAACGTAACACAACCATGTAAGAGCTAGAGCTTCTTGATCATAACTTTTATACTTCAACAAAAAATCTAGTGGGCTGATAGTGGATCTAGTTAATAAATATGTGGATACAGAGAGCTAGGCCGTTAAGAAGCACCACGACACTCACCAGCCCTCAGATGAAAGTCTATGAATGATCACAACATAATTGTCTGGTCAGATGAAAAGCTAAGCACTCGCAAAATAACCCTTTCATGTCGGAAAGAAAGTATGTGAAACAAGAGATTGTTTGATCCGAAGTCGAGTAGGACCGAGGCCTCTGTGATGGAAACTGGCAACCAACTGGCCATCCATGTCAACCTGAAGTAGCCAATCATCAGATTTGACTAGCACAATCACATCATCGTCCCAAGACGTGGCAACCACCTCCCAATGATGATGAAACTTCCCAAATTGCACCCTGATCTCTGCAACCGGCAATTCCACCCGGTATTTTAAGGACCAGACCTCACCTTCGTAGTCCTGCATCACCCAGATTTCAACGCTTGTCTCTTCATCATTAAGACCGGACATGCCAAGCATGTCAGCCATCTCAAACAAGTCGGCATAGCCAGGAACAATCGGGCAGCCCATCAGCCGGAACGACTCAGCAATGGTGTCAAATACCATTATCCTGTGGCCTATGTACCAATGCAGGCTACCACTGAATAGAACAGAGCTGGGGCTGTACATCGCTTCCTTGGCTTCAGGGCATCCTATATGCCTCGGCGGCTGGCCGGAGCCTAACGTGAAGACATGAGCGCCATCTTGAGCATCAGGTGCCGGTTCATCAAGCATCGACCACGGACAAGGGTACAGCAGCAGTCTGTACTCGCCGGTAGGGCTGTGCAGGTACATCCCCAAGACCAAGAAGCCATGGAGGTGCGGGAGGAGAGCAAGCTGACGAGTTGACGGGTTGCAGATGACGAAGTGCGTGCTGTTCAAGGAGAGGATGAGTAGACCATCGCAGGAGTAGTGGATCAGGAGGCTGTCAACGGTGTGAAGTCGCACGATGGAGTGGAGCTGATCGGCGGCGTCGACCCCTGCCCTGTGCCTATGGTCGAACGGAATGATGTCTAGGGACTCGACGACGTCGCCGGCGCGGTTGTAGCAGTCGGTTGGGCTGGTGGGCGTGGTGGGCGAGGAGGAAGCCGCGGGTGGAGGTGGCGCGGCCCCAGGCGCGGCGGACGGCGCGGCAGCGGAGGAGGGCTTTAGTGGGCAGGCGGACGAGGATCTCCCAGACCACGATCTCGTCTGGGAGGCCAGGAAGGAGAGGCGGCGCTCCTGCTGCTCGTGCGGCGTCCGCCATGGTCGCCGGCTGCTCTGCTTGTTGTGTGTGGTAGGTTTTCCTCTCTCGCGTCGCGGAAACAACACAAATAAGTACAGCTGGGCTGGGCTGGGCTGGGTTTAGCCCATCTCTTTGACTGCTGCTCTTAAACGGGCTGGGCTTGGCTCAGGTTCTTTTGCTTGGATTTAGCCCATCAACATCAAGCTCTAAATTACTCAAAAACGTCCATCCTTGTCTCAAAAAAAAAACTCAAAAACGTCTATCTATACTACTATTAAAAGAGCAAACTAGAATTATCCTAAAGCCACACAACAAATAGTACACAGGATAATCAGGACCTTCTGATCAAGTCAACTTAAACATATCCTCCTGTCCATATTATATCAATAGTCTGATATCGAAATCAACGTCTCAGATTGAATGTTCTGCCGAGCAGACGTACTGCCGCTCCGCTTCCTTCTACGCGGCCCCGTCCGCAACTCCCTGATTTCTCGGATCGATTGCAACTGAATCGTGATTCATTCCCCGACTCTTCTTTCTCCATGCCCCTAATTCCCTCAAGAAAAAAAAGAACGGATCCACCATCGCTTCTCCCTTCCCCTACCTCCCAATCTGCCCCAAATTACCCTGCCTCCGGTGGCCACCCGCGCTCCTGCAAGCCGCCTACGACCTCCTCTGCAGGTCAGCCGCGCCCAGCGCGCTCCTCCTCCATTCCCTCTCCCTCTGCTCACTAATCTCTCTTCTTCTCTCTGTTCCCGTGCTGCAGGACGCCATGGCCACGGATTGAAGCTCCATCGGACTTTCCCTCGCGATTGCCGGCCTTCTTCACGACCAGATCGACGACGGGGACGACCGGATCTGCCTCGCCACCTTTCATTTCTGCCTTGCCTAGCAGCACCGCGCATCTGCCCCACCTCCCCAGCCAGCGCAGCCGCCCCTCCGTGTCGAGTCCCTGTGCTGGCCACGCCCGCCGCCTGCCCAGCACCGCTCTCCCGTTGCCTTAAACAATCCAGCTCCACCACTAATACATGCCCCTGCCCCGCGACTGAAGAGGATCAGGTGATAAATGTAACAATTTATTTGAACCAAATGTGATTTTTCAATGGTAAATGTAGGATAGTGCCAATGTTTATTCTACCTGTGTATCATCTTCTGCTTACTTTGACACGTCTATTGCACAATATCCCATTTCTGAATGTTATGTCTTGATTTCACATGCAGTTCATATATCGCATTGTAATAACACTTTATTTCTAACTTATAAATCAGAATGTAACAGGTTCATTGTAAATCTGTGACATTCATTCTATATTAAATATGATATATCAGCTTCAGACAAAGAAGTTCAACCTCCCACCTTATTTACTTGTTAATGTATTTTAATCAAGCTATCTTAAGTGACTTGTTCCGGCGAGGGTCAAGAACTATCCTGGACAATGTCAAATATATATAGCAATGCATATTTGCCCTACTCACATGGAGTAAAATTTTGCATAGCATTACAGTTATGTTGGATCCTTCTGAATTTCATAGAAGCACAAGCTGCTAGCATAGCGGTGTACAGGGGGAGGCCTTGAGCAGACAGGTGACTGCATCACTGGGGCGGATATGAGGCACATCTGCAGGCAGCGAACTGTAGGCAAGAGGCACATGGCAGTGTGGCGAGATGGCCGGTGGCTTGCTACTGTTGCGAGTGGGCTACCTAGAAGATGGACAGGAAGAATATGGTGCCAGCAATGGCAAAGGGGAAGGCAGGGAGTGGTAATGTGAAAGGTATATTTCCTTTTGAATTTCTGTATTTGTGTACGTTGGCAGGGGAAAATGATAGTGTGCAACTCTGATTTTTATTCCTGTCAGACTTTCAGACTGTGTACACTAGAGTGATATTAGTGGTCTTTTCATGCTGTAAATTGCAGATTTGACTAGACAGATCGGCTTAATTTTTTTATTATGATCTTAGTAGTATTTTCATGCTGTAAATTTCAGATTTGACAAGATACTTTGGCTTAGTATACGAGATATAGATGCTCCACAACATGTGTATGGTTGCATAACTCTTGGCTCTCCTAAATCAGCCTTCGATCACATGCAGGTATACCTTGGTGCAGGGTATGTACATAAACTAAGTGCAAACGTGTAACCTATATGTATTTTTTTCAATGCTAATTTGATATTTGGCTTTCCAAACTAAACTTGCAATTTAGTTAGAAACAATAAAGTTCTTCAGAAATCCCTTGAAACATTCTCAAGCAAAAGCAAACGAAGGGCATACCAGTTCTTTTTTAATAGTAGGCTCAAACTTATTGTATTCTGAAATCTGAATATGTTCCCGTTGTTGCATCATTTAGCTATTCTTTATTACCTCATCCAGTAATGTTTATTTCGTGGTTTCGCTGAATTAACAAAATAGTTTTTATAGCTTATTTGTGCAGGTATATGCTAAGATTGTGTGGGCAATATGTCTCTTTCATACTGCTTATTAAAATTTGATGGATTATTGTTGGAATGTGATGCTTATCTGCTCATTTTATTTTTTACAGTTTGTGATAAGATCCGATTTGAGGTGTATTTATAACGATCACATAAATGAAAGGCTACAGGAAGATTTTGGAAATGGCAATGGTATCAACAAAGACATGAGACAAGAGGTAAACACTCTTCTATATGTTACCCTCTACTATTACATTGTACTGTTGAAATTGATTTTGCGACCCAAATATGGTGAGTAGAATTTTACTTTATATTTTTTTTATTACATGTGTTGCACACTGGTTTATATGTATTGCCTCCCCTATCCATCTGGGCGAAGAGTTCTGACTTTTGAGAGCGGACATTGTGCAAAAGTTTGTTCTTTCATGCTTGCCATTCATCCCCGAACAGTTGTGACAGGGATTGCAATATTGTAGATCAGTACATACGCGAGGGCTGTATGACAACTTCATTATGAATTGGTCACCTCGAAATTTGACAAGCATATGAGATATGTGTAGTAATTTGTGTATGCATTACATCTTGGACTGGCGGCATGGACTGAAAAATCATCCCAACCATCTTGGAGACACCCAGGCAGGTATTGCGGGCTGTGATGCCCGAGGCACCCGCCGAGAAAATGGGGTTCGACATGATGATCAAGGATGCGCAGGGTATGCTCTTCTAATTAGTTTGATGATTTCCACATGTAGTAATGCTACTCTGAATGTTTTTGCATAACAATCTGAAGATTTTGTATTGAAATCTTCGTGGTGGTTCTTTCAGTTAAGTTGAGCTTAAGACGTAGTGATTCTGGTGTGAAGTTTCCCAAATGCATTTTCTAATAGAAAATTTCTTTTTCCAGATATAGACTCTTTTAGCTAATAAATAGGCCAATCTGGATTCAAAGTTAAATAAAATGTGTGGCCTTCTGTTGATAGATGGAATTACACACTGATGGGCTGTGGGTTTCTATTTTTCTTATAGAAACAGAGACACCGAATATTATGTTTGCAAGACGGTTATCATATATTCTAATTCAGAGACAAGTGATGATACAACAACGCTCTTCGCCAAATTCCAATTCAGTCGAGCGTATCTTAGCTTGGGAGCATGCCCGTGCAACAGTTTTTGTCATCTTCATGCCCCATATAAGTTGCTTCTGTCATGCATAGAAGACAAAGACGCCACCGAGAGCAGCGACACGCATAGTGAGGTCATTGCCCGACACGATTTTTCTTTGAGCTGCCTAGAGACTTGCTTTGAGCTGCTAGGAGACATCCAGTGTTGGTGTATTCTCCCTTCATTGCCCTGTTTTTTCAGTGAAAATCTGAACATATGTAGTTGATTTCCAATATTCGATTGGCCTGCAATATTTTTTGACTTAGTTATTTGTACATAGTACAAGCTTGAATATTGAATAAGCAGATCTATTAAATATATAAACAGAATTTTGTGCATTAGTTTGTATGTGCATTTGCACACATGCATATGATTATTCAGGTCAGATTTATTACGTGCTCTGTTTGCCACCAAAGTTAGGTGCACCTCCTTATTTTCAGATTATTATTTGAAGTCTTTTTTGGATAGTCCTATTTGTATTTGGTGGATTGTATCTATATACTATGTTAATAGGATATGTAACCTCATTTATTTTCACATTAATAATAAGTGCCTCTTCAGTATATCAAAACAATCTTTCTCTATGGGGAGCCTGCAGTTTGTGATGTTCGTAATTTTTCTTTCGGCAAATACACCAAAGAAAAAACATTCTATGCTGAGCACCCTGAAAAGGCAGATATGTACTCGGCATAGTGTTTGCTGAGTGTAAAACTCTATGAAGTGCACTGGGCATACACCTAGCATGGTGTTTACAACATGTATTTGTCGGTTTTTGAATGGAATGTTAAGATTCTTATGTTCAACTATAATTTATCTCCGAAAGCCCATTATAGAATATTTATATAGATTCCCATTTATTAAAAAATATACTATGACATGGATTTTTAATTTCGGGTACTTTGACCATATTCACATTTAAATTTAATGAGGCACACGTGCGTTGCACGTGCATGGTTACTAGTCCCCTTAAAGAAAACTA